GCTGCATGCGAACAGCAGACCGCGTCCCCACCCTTCCGATGGGTGTTGTGTGGCAATCTGGACGCAGCTTCCACCTCGCCAGCTTATCAAATTTGCCGCGATGGCTATCCTTCCGATGATAGCATCACACGGCTAAGAGTGGTGCGCAATGTGCACCTCGAGGGTCATGACTACATGGACTCAACGGTGAGTAGAACCTGGGCACCACCCTATACCAACTTCGTGAGTTCTTCCTACGCCCCAATCCCCATTTCTCAAGCATGAATCCCCGTTATACTACTGTCCAGCAGACCGCCTTCCCCCGTAGTCGATCTTCTCGCTGCATTTTCTTGTTATTTTCCCCCTGCTTTAGTCTCTCATCGACATGCTGTGGCACGCCTTCCAACACCCCTGTACAGACGTCTCTAGCTGTTACAGTTCTGTCATTGTAAGTCCCTTTTTTAGAGAGAAATATGCTTTTGTTTTGAATGTGAATGGAGCCATTTTGCTGAAAGTTCAGGATTTTACAATCCTAAATAAAGCATTCTTCTTTCTTAAAAAGGTATATATCCAAATTTTTAAGCTGTTTTCTTTTGCGCCGGCAGGTTTGTCTGCTTAGCCCTGGTTCTCTAACAGATACAAAGTCGATCCAGGTGTTTATCTTAAATAAGAAATATGGCCACAGAGCTTTTTCAACCTCTGCCTGTTGGCGGGGCTAGAGATACAAACCGACAGTCATTAGTGCCTAGACGATCACCAAAAACCCAATTATTCCAACCTACCTCACCAAGTAGTAAGTTAAACTAAGGGAAAATCCTCCCGTGGTCCCTGCGCCCTGGTAGGCGCTGGCACTTCCTTTCGGTTCTAATCCCTGTCTGTGCATGCGTTCGCGCTCCCACTGGGTTTCAGGCCCCTACCTCAGGTGTCCGAGCAGTTAGGTGGTCGCTGGACGGTGGGAGTGTGTGTGTTTGCAGTTACATTTTATGCAAAGAGGGAAAAGAATACAAATGTTCAATGACTTCCTGGTCCATTCCGTTGCTTTGATGGTAATATCGGCATCAATAATAACACTGATAGTAGTATATTTCATTACTAGCATAATCGTTGCTAATGCCCGTTGCCCTCTATTCGCAATCCACACACAGGGTCGTGAGCCTCCGTTCACACGATTTATGGTCCCACCAGTCGCCCCCACTGCGTGCCTGCAGCTGCGCAATTGTGTGGACTATATCTTCTGCTCCTCCTCCACTCTGCATCCACGGGCCGTCTTCGTGCCGCCTTGTCGCGCAGTGGTCTCCGCTGCCGGGCCATCATCATCACCAAGATCGCCTTCTTCGCGTCCGCTGTCTCAATGCGAGACGGTTATCTCTTTGGCTGCTCGTCTGGGCATTGTCTCAGTGCCTGCTGCCAGTTAAACAAAGGTTTGTTTGTGTTGACTTTTAGTGGCTTGGCAGGTCTTTCTCTTCTCCTCTTTACTCCTGTAAGCTGGATGGCACGGTGTGTACCCCATGTCCCATCTGACATTGTCCTTTCTTTTTACAATACGTATGTATATATGAAGGAGAAGAAAGGCTCGTCGAAAAAAAGTAAAGGTATACTTGTGACTTTTCGTGTCGATGACATCAACCTGTCGTCAGACGAAATGCACAGAGCAGAAAGTGAGATGATGGTCAGCTTAAAACAGTTGGTTTGACAGGACTGGAATGACTGGAGTGGTTATTTCTGGCTTGTCAGACATCATCAGCCAGACATACACAACCCCAGCTATTGCCAGCACTGATAATCAAGTCTACTGACCTGACTACTGAGCCACGAGCTCTTTGGCCTATCGGTTTCGATCAGGAATATTAACATTGGCGGATAGACTCTCATCAAACGGCTAAAGGACTCCCTCGTCCCGTTGCGTCTT